AGGAGGAGGAGGATGAGGAGCAGGGAGAGGAGCATTTTGCATTGAGCATTGAGCGCATGATGCGAGACCCAAGTTTAAGCTTGGCCGCAGTGCCGAAATGACACACGGGGGAATTCATTCCCGACTTTGTGGGGCATCCCCATGCTGAGTTTACTGCGCGCTCTAGGGCTTTCAGCAGATACACCCTCAGGAGGCCCACGAGTCGTCGTCGTCGTCGTCGGCGTCGTAGTTGTTGATGACTTCGTCGTCGTCGTCTTCGTCTTTGTTGTCGGCTTCGGCATCGGCGTCGGCGTCAGCGTCGTCCCCCCCCATCCTATTTGGGAGGGGGAGACCTGTCAGTGGAGCCCTGGGACCCATTCGAGCTGGGGTCGGTAAGGGGGGCCTGTGAACCCTCGACCCGAGATCACATGTCGCTGAGTACAGGCACATGTTCCTCCCATGAGCAAGCCCCCGCCCGTATTGTTGTCCCTCATGGTGGCGGGCGGGGGGGATGGCCACGGAGTCGGGAGAGGTTGAGGAGGCGGAAATCGAGCAGGAGGAGTATCAGGAGCATAATGTGGTGGTAGTGGAGGGGGAGACAATATCAGGAGCGAGAGGATGATGCGGTGTTGGAGAACGCGAGCTGGCAGAGGCGAGAGGTGAGGAAGAATCTGACGTGGGGAATGATGAAGGGGATGCGTACACAGGACGGGGAGGAGGGAGAGGCTCAAGACGAGAAGTGTGAGCAGGGATATCTAATGGCGTTTTGCTCATCCCGCCACCGTGCCTGGGTTGTAGGTCTGGGGCATCCTGGATCCTCGTTGGGATCTCGTCGAGGCGTCTCGGGGGCCTGGGGGCAGTTTTGAAGCCTTTGGGGGGCTGTTTTCAGGTCTCATTTGGGCCTCTTGGGGGCCTCTTGGGTCCTCGTGGTGGCCCCTTTGATGCCTCTTGGGAGCCTCTTGGGGCCTCCCGGGCGTCTCTTGGGGCGGAAGGCTTGTATTTTCAGTTCGTGTTCCCCCTCTTGGGCCCCTGTTTGGGGCCGTCTTGGGGCCCTCTTGGCTCGTCTTGGACGCGTCATCAGCCGTCTTGGGGCCCTCTTGGGAGTCTCTGGGGCCGTCTTGAGGCGTTCTTGGGGGCATCTTGGGACGTCTAGGAGCGTCGGAAACTCGAACAGTGGAGCACCCAAACAGGCGTGACACACCAGAAATCCATGATTTTGGCTTCTCGGGGCCATCTTGGGAAGGCTCTTGGAGGCCTCATGGGACGTCTTGGGTGCTTTTCGGCCGACCGGAGGCCATCTTGAGCGCCTTGGACCAATTATTCGGCGAGTCGGGCCCTCTCAGACCGTCGGGGGGGCCTCTTCTTTGTGGCGCTCTTGCCCCGTCGTGGGGCCTTCTTTGGCCCGGGAAAGTTATGCGGGACTGCGGGTCGGGGCCAAGGGGCACGTGGCAAGCCCCGAGAGACTTTAGTGAATTCGGGGTCGGGGCCCTGACACGGTTTCAAAACAGGATTGAGGACTGAGGCTTAAGTGATTTGGCCAAGGACCTGCGGACACGGTTTCAAAACAGGATTGAGGACTGAGGCTTAAGTGATTTGGCCAAGGACCTGCGGACACTCCAACTCGTGCCTCAGGGCACGGTGGCGGATGTGAGGAGGAGGAGGAGGAGGAGGAGGACGAGGAGGACGAGGAGGAGGAGGAGGAGGACGAGGAGGACCAGTGTAAACCCAAGACTCATCAACGATGTTGCAATCAACCCTCCCTCCAATTTCCCTCGCCACAGGCCCCTGCAAGGATTCATTTTCACGGCTGGAAGTGCTCCGTTCGAAGACAACCGTCTGGGAAATTTCAAATGGTGCCAGAACGCCGCTCTTGGGGTCAACGTCGCGAACCAGCGTTACTATTGCGTCCCGACTATCCTGAATCATGTCAGAACACCTTTCTCGAGGCTTCAACCTAACTGTTGCGCCCTGACAGTCTGACACCATGTCAAAACATTATTTCGGATGCTAAGGCGAGAGCCACATTTTGGAACCGCACGCCATCCATTCGCAAAATTGCGACTACTCAGCTGAAGGATCATACGTAGTGAGGAAGTCTCAGGCGAAACGCCCGGCCCGCTCTACCGACACGTCTCGAGGTTCGACAGGGAGTAGTTATTGAAAAGGGATCGAGGAGGAGGAGAAGGAGGAGGAGGAGGAGGACGACGACCAAGACGATGGGGACTACTGTCTGACGTTGACAACATTGGTGTGCGCAGCATGGCGAGGGCTTCACGTGGTGGGGCTCATCTGCATCTGTATTCCGGCGGTGGTTACCAGGCAAGACGTGGGGCCATTGAGTTTGCAGTTGTTCAGGCAAGGCATTCTGCCTCGACTGGACTGCATAACAGGCAGGGTTCGGAGACGTGCATGTGACAGAAGCCGCTTCCGTTACCCAGGCCGCAGCGTTGGCTGCGGATTTGCAAGTCTAGCCCGCGAAGGATTATATCCAACATGATGAGTGGGTGAGCTTGTAGACCCAGTGTATTGGGAGGCATAGGCATCAAGCGGACAAAGGAAGATGGGGCTGAAGAGGAGGCGGATCGGGTTGGTGAAGGTCAGATCGAGGATTGAGCATGCTGATGATGAGAAGGATGTGCATGACGAGGGAGGAACAAAAGCTGATGTTGCTGATCATGAGGAGGACGAGGAGGGGGAGGTGGTGAGGAGGTGAAGCATGAGGAGGTGAAATGGGCAAGACGAGAAGCTTGAGAATGAGGAATTCGATGAAGGAGGATATGAGGATGGGAATCGGAAGGGGAGGAGGAGAGGGAGGGAGGTAATATGGAGGTGGCGGCTGGTCAGCCACTTTACGAGTGGTGCTTACCTCCCTTTTCCTTCCCTCCCTCCCTCCCCCCTTCTTCCCTCCGCTCTCTCCCCCTTCTCTTCACCCCCCTCACCATCCGCTCTCCCCCTCCCGCTCTCTCGCCACTCCCCTCTCCTCCCCTTCCCCACCCCGTCTTTGATTCTTGGGCTTGCGCCGCACCGCCGACCCCTTGGGGGGCTCTTGGTAGGTCTCTCGGGGGCCTCCTGGAAGCACTTTGAGGCCTTTGGGGTGCCGTCTTAGGGCCTCTCGGGGCCTCTTTTGGGCTTTTGGTGGGCCTCATGGAGCCTCTTGGGGGCTTCTTGGGGGCCTCTTGGGGGCTCCTGGAGGCCTCTTGCGGCCAAGGGCTAGAAATTTCCGTTCGTGTCCCCCGCCTGGGCCCCCCTCGTGGAGCCGTCTTGGGGGCCTCTTGGGCCGTCTTAGGGCCATCTTGGGCCGTCGTGGAGCCTTCTGGGGCCGTCTTGGGGCGATCTTGGAGGCCTCTTGGGCCCTAAGGGAATGGGACGACTTTTGCTTCTGGGAGCCCTCTTGGGACGCCTCTTGGGGGCCTTCTGGGGCGTCTCGGAGGCCTCTTGGACCGTCTGGGGGCCATCTTGGGCGTCTTGGAACGATCCATCGGCGATTCGGGGCCCTCTTGGAACATCTTGTGGGCCTCCTGGGGCCCTCATGGTCCGTCGTGAGGCCCGTGGCGCGTTCAGCCGGGGCCAGCCGGATCCCCCCCTCTCCACACCGACCTGGCCAGGCCCCGGGGGGAGGGGTTTGGGGAGGGGGAAGCAACTCAAACGCCGATGACCCCAAGGGGTCGGCGGATATTCAGTTTTTTGTTTGGCAAACTTGCATCGACTGGGATCGTAGCGTTCGTCTCCCCTCATCTCTCCCCTCTTCCACTCTCCTCTCTCCATCTGGAAGGCCTCTTAGGCAGTCTTAAGCACTCGGTTGCCCGAAAAGGCAGAGATCCAACATCCTTTAACAACGATGGGGAAGATGCGCAAACCATAGTCAACAATTTGGATCAGCTTGAGACATGCGGATTTCAAATCTCAAATCTACTGACTGTTGTATTCCAGGCCATCTTGCGTGTCCTCCTGGGTCCCTCTTGGGGCATCTTGGCAGCCTTGTGAGGCGTCTTGATGCTACCTTGGCCTTCTTCGCCCCCTCCACCGAGGTCACCTGCGGGCCCCATGGGCTGTCTGGAGGATCTCAAAACTCGGGAGGAGCCAGGACTCCGACGTCGTCCTTATGTTTCGCAGGCGTGGACCCCCCAAGGTCTGCACCTGTTCCCTGGGACCAGCTTTCCATCCCGAACCGTTTCTGGAAGGTCCCGGCGCCCGGCGAGGACCTCCAGAGGGGGACGGAGGAGGAGGAGGAGGAGGAGGACGAGGAGGAGGAGGACGAGGATGAGGAGGGGGAGCAGGGCGAGGACGGGGGCTTCTCCCCCGCCCCCGCGCGCACGAGGCGAGCTTGGCCCGCGAGCGCGAAGCCTGCGCCCTCGAGGCCGGGGAGGAGCTCGGCCGCCTCGCCCTCGCGCTCGAGGAGCACCGGCACGCCCGCGAGGAGCCTCCGCGGGCCCCACCGCCGCACGCTCGCGGGCCTGCGCGGGTGCAGCATCGAGCGGGCGCCTGAGGTCAGAGCGGGCCTCCTCCTCCTCTTCCTCCTCCTTCTTCTCCCCCGCCCCCCTCCTCCTCCTCCTCCTCCTCCTCCTCCTCCTCCTCCTCCTCCTCCTCCTCCTTCGCCTCGCCCTCCTCCTCCTCCTCCTCCTCCTCCTCCTCATCCTCCTCCTAGTCCCCCTTGCTCAGGAGTTGCAGCTCCAGGGGCTGGAGGGCTCCGCGTATGCCGTAGACACCACTCGCTACGGCAGGCCCCCCCATAGGCCGCGGTCGCTTCTCATTCCCACTCCATGCAAGCATGATGTTATCATTGCTTCTTGTGTGGTCGCGCTGGGTGAGAGTGGCGATCGGCATGTTCACGCTTGTTCACTGGAGCGCACAGTACGCAGATATCGAGCGCCTGCACGATCTCCCAGAGGAGTTCAAGTTCACAGATGTGGTCGCAGTCACAAGTACTGGTGAGCGAACGGCACCTGATCGCTCGGTTGTATTCTCCAACTTGAAGTATCATTTCGTGGTGCGATGTGGCTACCTGGCAGGTCGTCGCGTCAACAATTCTTGTGGGATCGCGCTGTTGTTGAGGAAGCGGGTGTTCAAGCAGCGCGACGTGTATGATGTGCCCAGCGTGCCAGCCTCTCTGCAGGGGCGCGCTGCTGTTTGTCGCCTTCGTTCTGGGCGCTTCGATGTGTTGATCCCTGTGCGGTACTTCCCTCCTCGTCCGAGTGTGAGGCGCGAAGGTCGAGAGTCTCACGTGCAGGCGGCGACGGCGGCGACCGCGCATGCGAGGTATCGGGCCACGGTCGATCTTCTCATTCAGTGACCGGAAATGACTCTTACCTGGTCGAAGAAGCGCTCGTCGTTGATGATGGGGTTCGATTTGAACGACTCGTTCGGTTTGCGGAGACGGCAAGGAGGCATTATCGACTGGGTGCGCTCGAGCTCCCTGGGCCCTTCTGCGAGGGCTGAGCAGCGCTATGCTGCTGACCAGATTCGAGCTGCGTGAGAAGCATGCCGTCTCCACCGCGACGACGCGCAACATCGGGGGCACTTTTTTCGGCGCGCAAGCGTCGAGTTGCACTGACTACGTGGCGGTCTTCAGCTGGCAGACGCCGTCGATCACCTTCTGCGGGGCGATGCGGAGGAGCAACCTGCGTCTCAAGCTTGGCAGTCGTCGCGGCCTGTCTGATCACGCGCCTGCCTATGACGAGAGAGCTTGGAGGGAGGGTTTATTCCAACATCGTTGATGAGTCTTGTGTTTCTACTGGTCCTCCTCCTCCTCCACCTTCTCCTCCTCCTCCTCCCGCGCTCCTTCCTCCTCCCCCTCCTCCCCCTCCCCCCCCATCCCCTTCCCCCCCCTTCCCCCTTTCCCCCCCTCCCCCTTCACCCTTCCCCTTGGCCCTCCTGCTCTGGCGGGGTCCCAAGAACAGAGGTTCCGTGGTGGGCGAGAAATTGTGTTGGTCAATGTTGGCCGTTTTACCTCGCACGCCTTTGGGGTCGGCCGATTCTATGGATCAGCGTGATTGGTTCCCTCACGGGCATGGGTGTTGATGGGCGCCCCGCTTCTACGTGGGTTTGGGCAGCCGTGTATTTTCATATGCAGCCCCGCAGCAAGGGATCAGGACCAAAGTATATCAGCACAGTTTCGCAGACCATTCGCTGGTGGCGCTCATGCTTGGAGCAGCTCCCATCCAGATGCTTGCCCTTTTTTTTGCCGACCTGAACGACGGCCTCGGCGGTCGAAAGATAGGGAGGAGAGTATGGGGGGTATGATAGCGACATCGTGGGACAAGCGGGGACGAGAGAATGAAGGAGGAAGGGTGCGGGGGGGTCTGCAATGCAGCTACATGGTTCCATCGGCAAGGCGCGAAACGGAGCGCGCTTCCCCCTGGTGGCTTTCGCCCGCAACACGGGCCGCAGGTCACCAGGGAAACTTGCCTTGGGGGGCGAAAAGGAAAAGAAGCGGCGGCAAGAGAAAGGCGCTTGCTAGGGCGGCAAGAAGGGCATCCAGAAGGGCGGCGACGGGGATGCCGCAGTTGCGGGGAAGGGCGTTCAGACTAACACTTCACAGAGCGCAACCGCAGTTGCGGGGAGAGCCGCCGGGGCTGAGCGACCTTGGACATCGCAGTGGCCGCAGGCTGCCGGCGGACACTAGACGACCACTTCTGATCAAATTCAGGCACGAGTTCGACCTCAGCTCGTCGCGGACCGCTGCTACGAGGTGGGACTTCGATCGCTTGGCGAGTGCGTTGCGCAAAGGAGTGGGTGTGGCAGAGTTCTTGGCTGATGTCGAGGCAGAGTTCGGTGCGGCCCCTGACTTTCATGTTTTACTTCTTCACGATAGCTCCCCAGATGAGGTTTGGACGAAGTGGGCGACTACCGCCCATGCTGCTGCTGCTGAACGCCTTTTCTCGAAGAATAGTGCGCGGCGCTCGACTGTGGTTAAATGCCAGAAGGCTCGCAGTCAACCCCTACATGATCGACGGCTGGCTCGGGTGCGCGGCACGGGTGATCTAGAGTCGAGTTTGTCGCTGGCACGGCGCAGTCGGAAGTTGCGAGATCTACGACGCGCAAATCAACATGCGGTTTCTGAACAACTTGTCGAGGAGCTTAACGCTGCGTGGGGTGCTCGACAGCATGCTGAGGTGTGGCGCCTCGCGCATGAGCGCGCTGGCCGCCGCTCAGGACCTCGCCGTTGACGCTTCAACGTTGCTGAAGCTTACGCGACCAGGATGGCGAGATACGCGAGCATTTCAGTGGCCCTGGACATGCCGGTGGCTTCTCGGCTGCGCCAGTTGTCGTCGGTGAGTATCAGTCCCGTCTACGCGGGGATTTACCTCGGCCAGCTCCGTTTGGCAGTGATTATTACCTGCACGTGGGGCGTGGTCGAGATGACCTCGCTGCTGCGACGGGGCTTGCTGCGAAGGCCCCTTTTTGAAAGGCGGCCCCGCTGCACTCTATTCCTTCTGAAGTCAGCACGCTGGCTGCTGGGTCCAACGAGGAGGTCCGACGGCGCGCGTCGAAAACCACGCAGGCGACGGAACGATGACGGCGACGAAGTTGAGGATCCATGGCTGTGTCCACGAGCCGAGTTAGTTCCGAGGCATCGCTTGGCTGGTGATAGACGCGGCAGTGGCACCGATGCTCCTGCGATCTCCAGCGAGCTGAGTTTGAAGGCCCTGCATAATGTTTTTCATCATATTAGACGCGTTGAGAGGACACCCGCTGCGTGGCACCATTCGCGCGCGACGGGATTGCATTAGCACTACCATAAGGATGGCTTTGCTGCTCGTCGTTTCATCCATGGTTTGCGTCGCATGGGGGCGCCGTGGTATTGGGCTCAGCTGGCGCGCGGCTTTCCTGATGAGGCGCCTGACCGTGAGCGTGGCCATCGCTGGAGTCGCGAGGGCGCTTGGACCGGTCGGCTTCGCTTGCTCGGAGTGTCGACGGCCGCGTCAAAAGAGGGCACGGCGGACGCTTTTGGCTGCTCGACGTCTCCCGTCCTACGTGCGACGGCGGAAGCTTCGATGCAGCCCGATTCGCAGTGCTAGTTTCACCAGTGGCACGAGACGAGCACGTTCGCCATATGCTGGGTCGACGGCGAGCAGACGACGCATAATTTGTGTGGGGCCTTCATGGAAGATGCGCCTGCAGCGGTCTGGTTCTTTGCTAGAACCTTTCGGCGGCCAGTGCGGCGGTGGCTGGATCTTCTTCGGTCTCAGACTTGGCACGAGCAGGCTCCTGCCCGCCCTCGGACCTACGCCGAGTGGGTCGACCTGGAGCTGGCGCCGCCGTCGCCCCCCGCAGTTCGTGATCGCGCGCTGTGGCCAAGCGGGGCGCCGTGCACGGCGCGGGCCCCCATCCTGCAGCGCCCAGTGGACCTGTCGGCGCGTAATTGCGCCGGCGATGCGAATTCGACTCGCGTCGTGACGTCGGCCAAGCACGCGCTGTTCACGGTCGAGCAGCCACGCGTGCACTTCGGCGCTTCGTTATCTCCAGCCGGAGATTCCCACGATATAACGAAAAGTTGCGTGTCCCCCTTCCTCCGTCGGCCCTCGGCCCACGGGGTGCAGCGCTGCTGGCTTTGGGGAACTATCCGCCCCCCTGGGCAGGTCCAGTTCGACAATGCTGCGTCGGTTACTCAAGCGACTGTATATGGAAGGGTGCAGGGGGAGCTTCAGTGGCGCATCCAGGAGTGCAGGGGGGGCTACTACTCGATGGGGAGGTTCTGGGCCAAAAAACAAGTTTGGAGGTTCACTCGCGTATTTTTCGGTGCCGCCGTCCAGGGGGCCCTGTTGTCTTGACTGACTACGCTCGTCTGGGCGGAGGCCCAGGAGTCGCGTCTCGACCGCGTGCTGATCGGCTTTGCCCGCAAGCTTCTGGGAGGCGATGCGCGCGCGAAGGTGGAGGAGCAGGATGAGGAGGGCAACCCTGGCATTAGATGAACGGATACCCTGGTCTTCCGTCGCGTCGGCGTCGCCACCGCGCGAGTTGAGCTGCGCGTCAGGCGCCTGAGACAGCATCAGAGGTGGATCAGATACCCCGAGCGTCATCTGCAGAAGCTTGGTGCCATCTTTGGTCAGTTGCCGCTCGATGATCATCCCGCCGTGAGCGGGCAGGCGTTCTTGCGCGAGCGCTCAAATACATATGCTGCGCGCTTTGCGTCGGACATCCTGATCCTGGTTCAGAAGTCCGAGGCGGAGCTGCTCGAGTCTAGGCTTTTTCACAGGTCCCTCGGCTGACCCCATGTGAGACTTTGCGTGTGGGCCCTCTTCGTGGACGGGGATCTCAGGGAGCAGTTCTTGGCGTTAGATCCTAGGCTCCTACGGGCTGAAACTAAGACGGTCGCGATTCCGCCACCTGTTAGGCTTTGCGGTCCTGATCCTCCGGAGGTTCTTGAAGGTGCTCTTGAGGTGCCCCCTACCACCGGTTGTGACTTGGGATTGGCCTTCTGAACGACGACGGGGCGGTCTGCGTGATAATCTTCGCCACGAAGAGAGCGCTGCTAGCGCATCAGAGATTTGCTAAAGGAGGGGGTCACTCTTGCCGCTCACGGTTGCACACCATCATTGTCACCAACGAGTGCATCTTCTGTCGTCCGAGTTTTCGTACCCGTCGGATTGCGCAAGAGCATGCCGTGCAGGCCGCACTTCGAGGTCGGCGCCCCCGAATGCCGCGCCCTTCAACCACCCCGTCCAGGATCCAGAGAGCTTGTTCTGCCCCCTCGCCGATCTGACCCGAGGTGCGCACTTTGGTGGTCAAACCTGGCGTGATCGCGAGTTCGGCTGCAATCGGTCGGGGCCGTCCGAGGATCGAGAGCAACTTTATCGCCGTCTTTGTCGGCGCTCTCCGCGGTTTCCAGTTTCTCTCCACGAGCCCGATGCGCCGCCTGGGGGCAGAGGCGCTCGAGGCTGCGGCCCATCATTCCCGGTCGCGCGGAGGTCAGCAAGGCTCGCGCAGGGGCCGCGCGGGCTCGGCATCGCAAGGTCCCCGCTCTCGCGGAGGCGCCAGGCGCCAGCGGCCTCGCAGCCGTCCTGCTGGAGACGGCCCGAGGGCCGCGGCGACCGTGGGGGCGCTGGCGGAGGCGGCGGCGCCAGGGGGGATCGACGGGGGCCCGGGAGGCGCGGCGGTGCACGAGCAGCACGTGCTGGAGCAGCGCGCGACGACGCTCGTATGAATATGGGCCAGACGCACGGACTTCCCGCCGACGCTCTCGAGAAGCTTCCAGCCATGGATGTGAATCTATATGCACGCCTGTTTCCAGTGATCATGCGGGCCGCCCCTGGCAACTCGTTCAAACTGAGGACGCTGGCGGCAGCGGAGTTCGCGACCGTGGCGATGGAGGATCAGGCGGACGCGACCCGGAGCGGCATCCAGGCGGGCCGCGCGCGCCACGGAGGCGGCGAGGACGCGCGGAGACCCGGCGGGCAAGAAGGTGCCCGAGGTGATCGCGGGCCCAGCGTGCGTGCAGGCGTTCTTGGTCGTGGCTCGGAAGGCGCCCGACACGGGCGACAAAGTGGGCGTGGGCAACGCCGTGGCGTGGAAGGAGCAGCAGGATCGCATTGACAGTATCTCTTCGATGGAGGATCTCGCGATGTCGGTGAAAGGGTTCCGCGCGAGCTCGGCGCGCAAGGGAAGAGCTCGCGAAGGTGGTCTTCAGCCTGGCCGAGCCTGCGACGCAGCGCGCGCCCCAGGATTGCCTCGCCCAGTCGGGGGCGGTCTTGCGTCCAGGGATGGCTCCACGCTCGCATGCGGAAAGGGTGCTCCAACTCGCGCTCGACGAGTTCGAACTGTGAGGTCCGCTGGCGTTAGAACGGGCGTCAGTACGCAAGACCAGGAGATGGCTGCCCTGGCTCAGTCGTCGCCAATTGCTGCTGGATTCGCTGGTGTTAGATGGCTAAGTCCAGGGGGTAGCCTCCCTGGCACATCGTCGCCACGTGCTGGACAGACGTTTGGTGGAGACTTGCAGCAGGATGGAGCGGACATCGCGCAGGGATCTTCGCCTTCTAATACCAGGTACGGTGGAGAGGGCACCGTGCAGTATCTTTGTGGATCTGCTACTAGGACGCCGTCGAAGGCCAGCTTTTGTCCGCAGATTACAGATACGGGGATACTGATGGCCAGCTCGTGTTCGCAGCTGGCCTGTGGGAGTTCGTTGGCTGCTACTCCTTGTGCGAGTGTTGCCACTTCAAGTCTGGGAAATTCCAGTTCGAGATCGCAGATGCCACTGAGGGGGAGTTCCGCGTCGGTGAGGGTTTCCAATGCGACTGAGGCCTCGGGGGGCGCGGACGCCCTGCAGGAGGCTCGTGCTGCTGCCGCCGCCGCTTGCCCCCCTCCTGTTCCTCGTCCTCTGAGACCTCCCTCGCCCCCTCCCTCCTTCAAAGATTTGGTGGCTTATGCCACGCGTTTTTAGCTTTCCTGGCTTTTGAGCCTTGGGTCTGGATCCCTGGACCGCTCCTGTGTAAATTCGCTCGTGTCTGCTCGCCGTGAACCGCGGTCGAGTGAAGACAATTCGGGGCTCTCGCCTGTCTGGGGGGGGGGTCGTCGTTCACTCGCAGGCGGCTGCGCACGATAGGTCGCACATTGCAGAATCCTCTCGGCGAATGCTGCTCCGTGGTCGCTCAGACATACGGCCCGAGGTCGTTCCACCACCACCACCAACCCGTCCTCCTCCTCCTCCTCCTCCTCCTCCTCCTCCTCCTCCTCCTCCTCCTCCTCCTCCTCCTCCCCATTATTCCTCCTCCTCCTCCACTTCCTCGCCCTTCTTCCTCCTCTCCTCCTTCCTCCTCCTCCTCCTCCTGCCGCCTGCTCCTTTTCTTCCTTCGTCCTCCGCCTCATCTCCTCTCTCCTCCTCCTCCTCCTCCTCCTCTCCTCATCCTTCTCCTCCTCTCTCCTCCTCCTCTCCTCCTCTCCTCCTCCCTCTCCTCCCTCCTCCTCCTCCCTCCCTCCTCCCCTTCCTCTTCCTCCTCCCTCCTCCTCCTCCTCCTCCGCCTCCTCCTCCTCCTCCTCCTCCTCCTCCTCCTCCTCCCCTTCAGGAAGGAACCCATACCGGATTTCAGTGGCCCCAGATAACGTGGGCCCGGGCCTCCCATTTGGGGCTGAAGTAGGGTCATGAGTGTTTTGCTCTGCTTGTCGCGCCGCTTTGGGTTTCAAGAGCGCCAGGCCAGAGGTCCAGGTGGGGCCGTCGCTCGGAGTGGAAACGGTACCCATACCGCTACCCTTTCGTCGTTTTCCCCTTCTTGGGCCTCCGAGGAGGCCTTCGTCGCCATTGCCGGATTTGCTTCGAAATTCTGGTCAGAGGTCCAGGGAGTGGCGTTTGGGTTTCCCCACGAGTGGCGTTGTCGAGTTTCAAAATTTGCGGTGCTCCGCGCTCTGGCGCGAACGGAGCTCAACGGCTCGTCTCACAAAACGCTTGGTCGACACCGTTGGCAGCCTCGAGTGATCATGCTTCAACGCAGGCTGCCCGCACGCACCCAAACGATATCGACCACCATCGAGCGCTCGTCGGTGGAGAATTGGCTGCCGCCTGCGCCGCTCCGGCAGGGGTCGAGGCGGCGGCGGCGGCTCACGGCCCGCCGGCCCGGCGATCGAGGCCGCCGGGAGTGCCGCACGCGAGCCTGGTTGCGAGGCGCGCGTCGGCCAGCGAGACCGCCGCGGAGTTGCTCGTGCGGTCGCTCCCAGAATCGTCCCAAGACGACCTCCGAAGGAGTTCCAGGCAGTCGCAGAGAGCTCCAGCATGGCCCGACGAGGCCCCACTGCGTGGCCCCATGATGGCCCCCAAAAAGTGCACCCCCCCATCCCCCCCGGAGCATTCCGAATCGCGACTTCGTCGTTGAGGGATGCCGCAGTTGCTTGTAAGGTGGCCCCAAGGATCCAAGGGGCTCCCAGAGGTTCCCGAACGTCGCCCAGGAAGCATTCACAGGGCTTGAAACATCCGCCGCAAAGCTTACAGAAAAGCCCCCACACCTCCGACACACACGCAAACACGCAGTGTTTCTCCGCGCGCGCGCGCGCCCGCTCAGCCGCCGACCTCTGCTGCCGCGCGCCCGCCGTGGGGGTCGGAGGAGGATTGTCTGAGGCAGGATGTCTTGTCCCAGTGCCAATCTCGACGATCGGGAGGAGGCACCAAATGACAGGAAACAGGGGCGCTTCGGACGGCGAGCGGCCGGAGGGCCCTGCCCCCCCCCTCCGAGGAGTGCGGGGAGCGCGCGCAGGGAGACTTGCAGGCCGAGTTGCGGAAGGTGCCCGCTCCCTCCTCCCACGGTGTTGCCGCAGGGGGGTGGTTTCTGGGGACCGCCCACTTCTCTCTTCGCCTGCTCCTCTTCTTCAATCTCCCCATCCCCTTCTCATCTCCCCTCCTCCGCCTCCCCCTCCTCCAGCATTCGGGGGTCGCTCCCCCATTCCTCCTCCCCTCCTCGGCCTCCTCCTCTCCTCCGTCCCCTCCTCTCTCCTCTCTCCTCCTCTCTCCTCTCTCCTCTCTCTTCCTCCTCCTCATCCTCCTCCTCCTACTCCTCCTCCTCCTCCTCTTCCTCCTCCTCCTCCTCTCCCTCTTTCTTTCTTCCTTCTCCTCCTCTTCCTCATCCTCATCCTCATCCTAATCATCTTACTATGCCTATTTCTATTCCTATTCCTATTCCTATTCCTACTCATTCCTCCTCCTCCTACCCTCCGCTACCTCCTATCTCCGCTTCCTCCTCCTCTTCTCCTCCTCTTCCTCAACTTTCTCCACCCTCTCCTCATTATTATCCTCTTCTTCCTCCTCTCCTCCGCCTCTACTCGTCGTCCTCCTTCTCCTTCCCTTCCTCCTCTTTCTCCTCTTCCTCCTACACCACCTCCTCCCCTCCTCCCACGTATTCCTCCTTCCATCCTCCGTCCTCTTCTCCCCCGCCTTCCTCTTTCTTCTCCTCCTCTTCATCCTCCTCTTCCTCCTCCTCCTCCGCCTCCTCCTTCTCTTCCTCCGCAAGCGCATCGCGAACAGGCCGAAGAACGGTCCCTCCCGAGTTCATCTTCGAGGTTGCCTTGAGGCGGCCCCCTGAGAGAGCGAGGACGGCTCCGGGTGGTTGCAGTAGTCTACCGAGTACCGTAGCACGATCAACCAAGAAACAGTATCCCATGTGTAGACAGGCGCGTCCCGCTGGCACGCCTGTAAAGGCCTACACGATCTCAGCGACTCTGTCCTTTCCTCTGCTCCGCTCCTCCCTGGTCCGTCGTGCCTAACTTATCTCTCGGCGCGCCCCGCCTTTTCGATCGACGGGCGCCTGCACCGCTTTCGCACTCTTGCGCCCGCTGACTTGCAATGTAGACAGGTGCGTATTGATACAGGAACCAGTGCAAGAACAGACAGTGCAAGGATGCTGCCCAGACCTCAGCTTCATGGCCAAAGGTGCCAGGGATTGTGTAACCCACTTCAGTAGCATCCCCCACTGGTGCCGCTCCGGCAGGGGCGTCGGCGCATCGGGTTCTGCCGTGGGCCCCCAGCGGCCCTGACCCCGCTTGAACAGACAGGTCGCCCTCCAGCATCATCAGCATATGGTAAACATCGAACCACCAGCCACAGAATACATCATAGTTCAGGATGGTATGGAATGTGTGCCGGGCCGTTCTCGGGCCTGTACTTTATCCCATTCGAATTTGGGACTATTTTGGCAAGAGTCGGTCAATTTTTTTGTTCGCCTGCTTACCATTCGCCATCTCAGTATTCAGCCGTCCAGCTCCTAGGCAACCCTGCTGGAGCCCAGATGAGCCCGTTAGAGTTTCACCAAAGAAGCCACACCTTTTGCAAGCCGTATGCATGCCAGCATGGAATAAACCACGCGTGCTCGTGATCTCGTTGGTCACGTATCTGGCATCGCAGACCGTGGGTTTGGAGACCAGCCCGAAGAAGTGCATCTGGGCTTGGGACTTCATGCGGCCAAGCTCCGGCGGTACGCACTGCGTGGACTGCACATTGGCACGCACCTTAGCTTCCCAGGCAGCTTTGCCACACCTTCTGCAACTCATTTGGCCGATGCTGACTTCCACGAACAAGTGTGTCTGAATCAGAGGCTTGATCGGTGGTCCTTCTTTGTGCGGTTTCGACAGCAGCGCTGGGTCTTTCAAAGCGCCTTCAACAATCATATGTTCATTATCCTGGGCAAAAAATTGGTTGACACAATTGTGGTGTTCGAGATCTATCTGGCACATTTCCGTGAAATTGTTGGGCGTTTTTTGCTTCTTTTGCGGGGTGGCATGCCCAGCAGTTCCATCGACGCCATGTGGGAGATCATCCCAACGCAACATGCTCATCTATCGTGCGCAGGGGTCCACGTAAACTGCTTCGGAGAGAGCTTCACCGCCGCGAGCATCTTCCTCCAAATCTGAGCGTGCTTGGCTGGCGCAAGCTCCCAGACTGCACTGCATCCGTGGTCCTCGCTTGCCAGGCCGCGCCAGACAGATCCCGCCAGTAAGGCATTGGGGAAGAGGCTCAGACCCTGGTGGGCCCCATGCCTCTCAGCTCGCTCGACCGTTCGCCTGTCGCCTGGAAGAGGTCCATGCGATGCTCGGAGAGGGGGCCCTTCCACAGTCGCCTGGACCACCTACCATCCACGCCTGCACAATCTGAAATGGAAGACTGAAACCCAATCCGACCAACCATCTGAGATTCATGTCGACCCTGGCTTTGGGCTTGTGTAGCGTATTCGGCGTAGTAGACAGGCGGGCAGATAATTCCAGCGCGCCATGATCTGGCTCGCAAGCTCCATGTGGATGCCTCTTGTCCAGCATCCATTGTTGTACATCCTGCAACATGTCCGCAATAATCCGCCCTTATCTCCAAATCCATTCGTAAGCCCCTGACATCAGTGAAAAGGGTGTCCCAGGGCATCTCTTGGCCGGAAACGCGGCATTTCTCAGCGCTCGCCTACCCCAGTGGGTATTTCTGAGTTTGTGCCCAAAAGGAGCATTCCACAAAACGTGACCGCATCCAGCTTGACGCGACTGTTCGACCTTGCCCTTGCTACCACCAGCCACCGATTTCATTGCTCTTCTCCTTAACGGTGTATCATTGCCGACTCCCGCTTTGCGATGACGCGGGGTCTTTCTGAGCTGCCATCTCAGTGCCCTCGCGAAGCAGCCCCCTGACCTTGTGCGGGAAGGTGAACAATGGTGGCATTCTTTTTCAGGTCTGAGCAGACCACCGTGGACGAGTCCACGTTCCATGCGACTCGGGTTAAACTGCACGAAACTCACACCATTGGCCTACGAACCAAAGACCAGGCGATGAGGCCTCTTGCTTTGCTGGCAAAGCGTTCGCGCGTAGATCTCCTGGTCCTCCCCGGCTTGCCGACGCCGCGTCTTTGGCCCCAACTATAGCCGGCATATCTCGTCAGCTGGTCCGCTGTAGTTGAGACAATTCGACCGAAGGAAGGGCTGTTCTGCGTGACTAAATACGCCGTCAGCGACGGCCCTTGCTTCGTGGCCCCTTCAAGCTTTCGAATATGAGCGAGATGTTGACGGCTGACACCCGCTACTCCAGCGCCACGTGCCGCAGTTGGTGGATACTTCAGCGTTCCACAGACTGCACATGTGCATTCCAACAGTTCTCCACGGCCTCATGAGACGCGCTCTGTGGCTCGTCGTCCCTTGGAGCCTGCTCTTGAACTGCTTGCGCGTGCGCTCGCTGCCACGCAGCTCATGTCCATGGTTCCTCATCCACTGTGCATGCTGGATGCCTAGTCTACCTGCTAGGCCTTGCACGTCCTCGCCACCCTGCGCGTCGTGCCAACGCGCGTCCTCACCACCACCGTGCGCCTCGTGCCAACGCGCATCCTCACCACCACCGTGCGCGTCGTGCCAACGGAGCCAGACTAAGTCGTCTCCACCGCGAGCCCACGCTTGAGTGCCCTGAGTCGTGCCCGTGCCAGAATGTAGCATATGCGACCCTCGCATAGCAAGGGTTCCTCCCAAACCACGACGCGCAACGCTTGTGCCTCGACCTCGCACAGCAGCCTCCATCAGGGTGCCCACGTCAGAGTTGTTACGTGAGTGCCCCCAGCGAGGGCTCCCAGAGATGTCGACGCCGTGCGGTTGAGGGAGCCATGCGCCTTCGCGCATCTTGGCACCTAGTAGACCCGATCAGCCTCCACAGCAATTTCAAGTCCTATTGCAGCATTCTGACCTCGGCAACGAGATTGATACTTTTGACAATTTCGTTGCGCTGGTGGGCGTCAAACATAGCTGTGATGCCCACCTTCTTCAATGACATCGGCGACTTTGCTGACAAATTCCGATCCAAAGCGCAGTCTGAAGACGACCAGCTTGTCTATCCCCCAGGATCACCAACGTTTGTTGTGCCAACATTCTTCCCCTGGCTTAGGTATGCGAACCACGTCCAGATCCCAGCCGCGGGCCGCCCCAACAGCGACGCGCATGCCAGTGACCGCAACCTTGATGCACTCCTCCAAGTCGATTGAAGTACTGGCCCCTCCAAGCTTCCCAAGTCCGACCAGCTCTTGCGATACGATGGCCAACCGCCGGTCCTTGGCCTTATCGACACGTTCTTCAGCATCGGCTCCTGCTGCAGAAAAGCCAGCGTCAGCATCCAACTCCATTGCGCCATTCTGCGCGCCGCTGACCTTTTGAGCTGCAAGCTGCCTCTCGATGGAGGTGATGCGGGCAAGTGCACTGCGAAATTCCTATCCCGAGACCGAGGGGGACCGCCGCCTCGCGTCACGATTCCGCAGAAAACAAACCCTTTCGTGGAGCTGACATCCCCGACATTGCGTATTGGGCCTCTCAATTCCACAGTTGCTTCCCCAAAATGATTGGCTTTTTTGCATAATCGTTCCACCTGGAGCCTCTGCTGCACAAGCCTGGGGCCTGAGCCCCGCCAGGTCAGAACGCACTGCCTGGAGTAATCTCGCCTACAGGTGGGGGCTGAACGGGTTCAGTCCCAGAAGTGAATGCGTCGGGCGCCCCCTCGATGTTTGTTTCACTGCGGCGGGAATCTCGGTTCGAAATCCCGCGACGTGGATGTCGAGTTTCGAGCCAAGACGGGTTGAGCCCTAATGGCTACGGATCCTCCGCCTCTTCCGCCTCCTCCGCTCCTTTGCTTCTCCCCCTCCCTGTTCCTATTCATTTCTCCGCCCTCCCTCCTCCTCCTCCTCCTCCTCCTCCTCCTCCTCCTCCTCCTCCTCCTCCTCCTCTGCTGCCTCCTCTTCTTCCCTCCTCCTCTTCATCCTCATCCTCATCCTCATCCTCCCTCGCACAACCCCGTGCGTATCAGCGAATTCCACCAGATCTCTCCTTCTCCTCTCCTCCTTTTCCTCCTTTTTGTTCTTGTTCCTCAGTATGTGTCCCCTCCTCTTCCCTCCTTCCTCCCCTCTTGTCCTCCCCGCCCTTCGGGTTTGGGAGGCTGTCTGTCTGCATTGGTGCCTCCCTCCTCCGTCTTCCCCACGCGGGCGGCTGCGCCCGCCCCCACTCCTCCCCAGAAGAACCCCCCACGCGCCGGCGGCAACAACAGAGTGTAGCGACGGAAGTGCTTGTGGTTGCTGCCGCCGGAGGGCAGTCCCTGCGGGCCCCAGGTACCGCCAGGAGAGGGTCACGGGTCGGGACGAACAAATACAGTCCCCCAGTCGAAGGGGGCCGAGACTTGCTGGGGTGGCACGCGTGGAAGCGTTGCAACTCTACATGGGGTCTGCTCCCTCGTCGTGCCTCCTGTTCCTGCGGGGGAGGATATCGGAACAGCACAGCCTGCACGCACGTTGGGGGGGGAGGAGGACAAGAGGAGGAGGAGGGGGAGGACAAGAGGAGGAGGAGGAGGAGGAGGAGGAGGAGGAGGAGGAGGAGGAGGAGGAGGACAGACGCAACAGGCTAGCACCTAATATCGGCCTCCCGTAAAAAAGGAGTAGGAAAGGAAGGAGGAAGGAGGGGGAAGGAAAGAACAACGATAAATTATATGGAGGAGGGGGATGATGATGATGATGATGATGATGATGATGATGATGATGATGATGATGATGATGATGATGATGATGATGATGATGATGATGATGATGATGATGATGATGCTGATGCTGATGATGATGATGATGATGATGATGATGATGATGATGATGATGATGATGATGATGATGATGATGATGATGATGATGATGATGATGATGATGATGATGATGATGATGATGATGATGATGCTGATGATGATGATGATGATGATGATGATGATGATGATGATGATGATGATGATGATGATGATGAGGCGGAGGAGGCGGAGGAGGCGGAGGAGGCGGAGGAGGCGGAGGAGGAGGAGGGGGAGGGGGCATTACTAAAAGGAGGAGGGGCCAGAGTAGCCGCTAAAGGTCTAAGGTTTTGGTCCCCCCTCGTTTTCTCGGCGTTGAATATGACTGGTCCTAAATCCTCCTCGTCCTCCTCCCGCCTCTTCCTTCTCCTCCTCCTCCTCCTCCTCCTCCTCCTCCTCCTGGCTCAAGACCGCGGCCTCTGTGGGCCGTGGTCACCATTGCACTGCGCCTCTGGTAAGGGCCAGGGGTTTAGGGCCCAAACCCGCGCTTCCCCCCGCCCCGTCTGGTCGGCCACAGGCGAAGGCAGTAGTGCCTCCGAATGCGTGATGTCTCGTGCGCCGCCCGACGGAGTGTGGCCCCTCTTAAGACATCTGGCAGCGCCGCCCGCCGAGCACGAGCCCGCGCCACTCATGCGCGAAAGTTCCAGCAAGCCAGCTGCAGCGTGGCTGGCCTGCTGGCGGCTGGCGCACCCCCCGGCCTCGACATCAGCGAGGCGCACCACTGGGAGTTCAGTTACTGGTACGACGTCAATTCCGAGTTAGACGCTACCGTGGAGACAGCCACCGGGAAGGCTTTCGACACCAGCGAGCACTGCAATGTAGAGAAAGTGCTCGAGTTACACCCGCAGCTCTCGTTCACGCGGGCCCTCCCGCCCCAAGACCGAGAACTCGCCATAGCGGATTTCTTTGCGCTGTGGCCACAGTCGGCGGATGCCACAGTCAAGACATCCACGAGCACTACCATCGTGGACCTGCAGGCCGACGAGGTGCTGGCTGCGCTGGCTCCTGGCGCCCGCCCGCCCACCGCGTACGACGGCCCCTTTCCGAAGGCTGCTGTTGGAGAGGACGCGGGAGCCGTGCCTGCTGCTGCGACGGTAGATCGCCCTACCAGGAAGTCTGTAGAGGATGTGGACATGCACTTAGCCACGTCGCCCGAGGACTCCTCTGAGCAGGCAGGCGTACACAGGCAAACCGTACGCGATGATCTCTGCCTGCGAGATGATCACGAGGACGGCGGCCGACCCGACTGTGGCGAGGACCGGAAGTCCTAAAGCCGCAGCCGCCGCCGATCAAGAAGGCCAAGTTCTACAAGGTGTTTGACATCTCCCCCGACGGCAAGGGCCTGATCCCAAGGTGGAGATGACCGAAACGCCTGCGGCCATGAAAGTCAAGGGGCAGACCTACCTCGAGACGCTGATGGTGGACAGGATCTGGTCATGGTTCCCGCCTGGTCCTACAAGAAGCCCGCTGGCAAGTGGGTGGAGCTCCACCACCAGAACCATGACAACTGCACCATCGAGAGGCGCTACCAACAGTATCTTCGAGACCCCACTGGCATGACAAAGTTCGAAATTAAATTACTGGATGGATGGATCTGCGTTGCAAATTTCTCAACAATGCGTGTGGTACTGCCGTCCAACGTAAAATTCAAGCTCAAGCGTGACGTGATTCAGGCTGAGTTGACCGACGGTGAATGAAGGCGGCCCGCTCCTCTGGCCGCCGCCCGTGCCTGACTCCTCGCTCGATGGAGCTGAAAGTGTGCTGCCTGTGCGAAGGCCGCAGGCTGCAATCATATTTGCAGAGTATGCCTTCGCGAATGCTCTGGTTGTGCGATCAGGTAGAAGAGCCACCTCTGGCGTTTCCCTGGCCCTTTTTGGCGACGCGTGAAAAAAAAACCCACATGGGGGTCGGCGGATTTCTCACTGCAGAGAGCACAGTCTGGCCGTTACCCCAAGAGTGCCGCCGCCAGCCCGATTGCTCAGCTTCCCTTCTGTGCCGCTGGCGCAGCTGCTCAGAGAGGCAGTCCAAGCCAGGCAGGAGGCGGCCCGCCCTAGAGGACAGGTGGCCCGAACTCGTCATCCAACTGCGTGCTGGTCCTCCTCCTCCTCCTCCTCCTCCTCCTCGTGACGTTCCTCGTGCCATTCCTAGTCGTAGCTGTCGTCGTCTTTGTTGCGAGGCGGGTGCCGCGGAGCAATAATAATTAGTTACCCCCTCTTGGTGGGACCACAGTCCTTCAATAAGGCCGCCGAAGGAATAATTTGCGACCCCCCCAGAATATGGGGGGTGGGGGTTCTAAACACCCTTCAGGGTCAGGCGGCGCAGGGGGGAGGAACGGGGAGAAGCAGAAGAAGCAAAAAAGGAGGCTCCTCCCCGCACATGCCTGGAGGCCGCGGGCTGCTGTGTCATGTCGGGCAGGAGCCCTCGAACCCCAGACCTCCAGTGCTCCCCGCCGTCGCCCTGGCGACCCGCGCCGACGTCGAGAGTGTATGCCCGCACGCCCGCACGCTCGCGTAGGTGTCAGCACTCCCTCCGTCAGAAGGTCTGGGGCGGCGCCCAAGGGGCGGGGGAGGGGGAGGGCGGCGCTCCTCGCCCTCTTCGGCCTGAGCGTCGCCACCCTCCCGTTTTGGGAGCAGGAGGGCGGCGCGGGAGGGGGGAGTCGAAGACGGAGACGGGAAGGTTTTATTTGTTTTTTCTTGTTTTCCTCAGCGGTCGGTGACTTTCACGCCTTCCGCCGTCTTCTTGTCCTTCTCTTAGTGCCCACGGGGGGGGGCACCAAGCAGCAGGATGCCACCTGGGAGTTGGTATTATCAATGGCTTTCGGTGGCAGATCGACCGACTCTTTTGCGGATGGCAGTTGTCCGGTGTGGAGCCTGCGGCGCCGACTCGAAGCCGACCAGCAAGACAACGCAGGCTACCCCCTTCTGTGGCGACCTTCATCGAGACGTTTGGCAGAAGTTAATGGGTAAGTTTGTGTTATTCCAGGGCGACCACCCACCTCCCCATTCAGACCATCCAGGACCTGATAGGCTCAGGGTGACGACTGGCCAGCGTGCCTTGACTACGAGACCTGATTCCACTGAAGCTGGCCCTGAGAGCAGTAGAGGCCACCCTCCGTTAGCTCCCAGTACGGGCCTTTTGGGCCCGCCTGACGAGAGGGGTTATCGAGCTCTTGCGGCGCACTCAAAGGCAGTGGTTTGAATATCGGTATGGTCCGGCTGGGAGGCACGGAGAGGTCTCTCATTTCAAAGTCAATCCCCACTTCGGCACCCCAGCCGAAACGGCCAAGTATCCAGCCTGGGCTGTCCAGGCCAACGACAACGCAGACGAATTAGCCAATGCCGCTGCCCCCCATGTCGCCGTGCCCCCAGACCTAATCCAAAGGCTTCAGGCAATGGTCGTGCTCGCATATCCAGCTGGGGCCAATGTAGTCTCGGCGCGAGCGCAGCGAAGCACCTTTCCAGCGCCTTTCAAGTAGCACCTACTTCAGTGGCCAGTGCTCGAAGGAGAGCGCGCTCTTTGCAGTCGGTGCCCGGAGCGGGCTCGAAAGTGTCGGGACACCCGTTGGCAGCGCCAAGCTTGTCAGTGCCACGGTTCCGGCAGTGCAGATTACTATCAACCAAGGCGGGACGGCCGCAGGGGCCCAATCAGTTAGTTGCAGGTGCCAGCGCCGCCGGTCCCTGTCTTAACAGCCAGTGCGAGGTGCTAGGTGCTCGGCAACAGGCTGGAGCATCCATCCCGGTCACCGACCCCACCTTTCCGAGGCTGGGGATTCATTTATACCTTCCATTTGGGAATCCGATCTTATTGACTGGGGTAGCGGTGGATATGGATTTATTTGGGCCCCTTGGAATCTCCGCCTCGCAACCTTGCTTGGTGTCGGGGGGTCTTGTGGTGGCGCAGGTGTCGGTATCGGAGGGTTCGGGCCTCCTGCAAGGTGGAAAAGCCCGTCAGCCCTCGGCCCCACCCACAAGGCAAAGTGCGGGCAGGCAGTCAGCTAATATGCCCACCAGAGAGCAGCTGCCCAGCTACCCCCAGGCCTCCAAGCATCGCCTCAGGGGAGCTCGTGACATCCTCTTCCCCAGGTCGCCTTGGCGCGTTAGGACTCGGGCCACGGATCGCAGACGCCCGCGGAGGAGGACGAGGAGGAGGAGGAGGGATGAGGGGTAGTTTGTGACTGTGAGGGGAGGGCCAGGAGGAAGACGACGACCTGACAACCTGGCGACCGACGGCCGACGGCAGGTGGTTATGACGCCGGCGACGTTGCCGACGGCGACGACCCTTCTGCGCGAGGCCGCGGAGGCGGTGAGCGCGGAGCACCTGCTGCGTCGGGAGGCCGAGGGCGCCGCTGGGCGCCGGCTGGAGGAGGCCCGCCCCCGCAGGGCCCCGCCCCGCTCGCCGTTCTCGGCCGTCCCGGCTTGGTCTCGGGTCCGATCTCGGCTCCGTGCTGGTGCAGCCCGACCCCCAGCTCTTCTTGGGGCGCTCCGGGGCCGTCTTGGAGGGCGAGTGAGGAGGAGGAGGAGGAGGAGGAGGAGGAGGAGGAGGAGGAGGAACAGGAGGAGGAGTTGGAGTGCTCCGGCGACACGATGTGTCCAGTCCGGACGTCGTGACACCGATCTCGGCCTCATGGGGCCCGTCTTCGGGCCCCACAGGGCCCTCAGGAAAGGATCCGGGGCGATGAGCTAGCTCCACACAGGGACATCTGGGGCCGGGACATCTGGGGCCGTGCATTGAAGAACTCATGCGGTAGGTTCATGAGGCGTTGGCGCGCCAAGGGCCCGCGAAAGCGTTCAAGGTTGAATTCTGCGACGCGGAAGCACCGAGGTACAAGGTGAGGCCTCTGGACCCGACTGAATTTAACCTTGAACGATCGGGGCCGCGATCGATTTAAGGTTGAACGATCGGCGCGGTGTCAAAAACCTTTGCGCGCGCCGACGCCGCACGAGCCTACCTTATCGTCGGGTGTCTGGGCCCGACGTACGTCGCACATCCCGAATCTTCTTTGGTCCGTCGCCAGCCTATATCCCCTTCCCCGCCACGGCGCGGGCTTTTCTCGACGGGGAGGATCCGGGCGAGGGCGGCATGGCCGCGACGGAGAGGGCCTGGCCTGCAACCTCCCTCGGGGGCAGCGCTAGGGAGGGGGGCGGGCAGGCTTAAGCGGGAGGCTTTTCGATGCTTTCGGGTGCATGCGCGAGTTCCCGCGGGTCTTCCCGCCTCGGGATGCTCTCCAGCAGCTGCGCCTCGCCGAGGGGCTGCTGGGGGTGCCCGGCTCGTCCCTAACGGCCGCCGGAGACCCGAGTTGTGACCCGAGAGCCAGACGACAAGGATCACGAGCATCGACCCCCAATTGCACATTCATCGCCTGTATGGGGCCTGAGGCACCCCGCCCATGAACGCGCGGTTTCGGTGTCGAGGGCAGCGAAATCATCATGACGCCAGGCGTCCCCGGACATCCGACGACATGACTTTTTCCAATGCATGGCCTCGGAGGTCCCGGCCCCTTCCTGGGGCCAGCCTTCCGCCCGGGATCCGTTTTTGACTGTCCCGGGGCTTGCCGTTTGTTGTGCATCCTGGGGCCCCCTTGTCGCCACGGCTGGGTCCGCGTCGCAGTCCCAGCCGGAGCGCGCCCCGGGAGACGTCGGTGGAGGACGGTGGCGACGGCCACGAGGACGACAGGAAGGAGGACGACGGCGACGACGAGGACGAGGAACAGAACGACGCTAGGAGCAGCACTTTGTCCTCCTTGGCCTCTTTAAGAGCCTCCAGAGCTGGCCTCGCCGCCGAGGCCGCACCCGCTCACTGGAATGCGATTGGGGTTTTTGTTTGAGGGTGCGAAGACGGCGGCAACGATGACGAGGAAGGTAAAGATGGTGACGATGACGATGATGCCGACGACGGCGCGGCGACGACCAGGACCAGGACCAGGACGACCAGGACGACGACGACGCCGACGACGTTGATGAGAACGACGGCGCGGCGACGACCAGGACCAGGACCAGGATGACCAGGACGACCTGGACGACGACAACGACGATGACGACGACGACGACGACGACGACGACGACGGCTGGCATGAGGGTTGAGCGCAGTCCCAGCTCGGGTATGCCGCAATAGTCACTCCACCTTGGAGTGCTTTTCGTTTCTGGTATCTCCATGGGCCTAGCGCCTCTGGCGAAGCTCAGGGTCTGCGCCCGCGTTATTTGTGGCCACGTGTCGGTTGTATGACTCGGAGGGGCTCCATGCGCATACCGCGTCGTTTCGCCGGCCAATGAGCCAATGAATTCCGCGAAGGAAATCGGTGCGTCATCGCTCCAGCTCCCCGGTTGGGAAGCTGTGGCGGTAGGCACCCATCGTTTGTTGGCGGTAGGCAGCTTTGGACTCCCAGGCTCTAGTCTATGTTGAGCGCCCTCCTATCTCGATCACCGAACGGCTTTCGTGCTTCCTTCCTCTTCAGTGGGCGGGTGGGATCCCTTTCTGCTCGCAGCGCCCCCTGCTCCTTCTGGGCGGTGGCTATACCCCGAGATCCTCGGAGGAGGGGCGTCCTCCCGGCGGCGCCCACGAGAGGAGGAGGAGGAGGAGGAGGAGGAGGAGGAGGAGGAGGAGGAGGAGGGAGGAGGAGGAGGAGGAGGGGGTGGCGTGAGAGGGGGGCGGCCCGCGAGGCAGGGGCCTCCATGGAAGGGCGCGCGGCCGCCCCGAGGCCCTACCGGCCTCTGGGGAGCCTCCTCGGAAGCCGCCGGGCCCTCCTGGGAAGGCCCCTGCTGTCTGGTAGCAGGGGCGCCCTCGAGGGCGCGAAGTTATTCGGTCTTCGCGTTTCGGCTCCGATTCTTCTTCCTCCTCCTCCTCCTCCTCCTCCTCCTCCTCCTCCTCCTCCTCCTCCTCCTCCTCCTCCTGCTCTCCCCCGGGGGGGCGGCGCGAGGGCGCGGAGTGAGTCGCGCTTTCCGCAGCGCGAAGCGCGAGGTCTGGCGCCCTCGTGATAAGCCCCCCGCCTTCGTAGGAGCCCACCGCCCTCGCCTCACCCCGCTGTGGGCGACGCCAACTCTTCCGAAAGATGAGGCATGTGCCTCGAGCCCTCGGCGCCGCAGGTCTTCTCCAGCGTGTCCGCCGCGATACAGCAGGAGCGGCCGCTCGCCATTGGGAGGCGAGTGGGGATTAGGGGGGGTGATGATGCTCCTGATGCTGCTGCTGCTGCTGCTGCTGGACGATGCTGCTGCTGATGCTGATGCTGATGCTGATGCTGATGCTGATGCTGATGCTGATGCTGATGCTGATGCTGATGAAGACGATGATGAAGACGATGATGATGATGATGATGATGATGATGATGATGATGATGATGATGATGATGATGATGATGATGATGATGATGCTGATGCTGATGCTGATGCTGATGCTGATGCTGATGCTGATGCTGATGCTGCTGCTGCTGCTGATGATGATGATGATGATGATGATGATGATGATGATGATGATGATGATGATGATGATGTTCAGGAGGAGGAGGAGGACGAGGAGGAGGAGGACACGAGGAGGAGGACGATGAGGAGGAAGCTGTTTGTAGGGAGGGATGGGGAGGACGTTAACCCTAATGCCTGGGGGTCCCCATGCAAGGCGGCGGTGGGGACCCACTCGGGTGTACTTGGGCCGGGTAGGGAGGATAAGGAGGAGGATGACCAGTGTGAGCCCAAGAGTCACCAATGATGTTGGAATAAACCCTCCCTCCAGGCTCCCATTACATAGGCCCCTATAAGGGTTCATAGGCTGGAAGGCAACCGTTTGAAGACCCTGACGCATGCCTACACATTGTTATCGGGATTCCAACGCCACGGATCAACCTGACTGTTGCGTCTTGACGATCCTGAATCGTGCCAGGACGCTATTCCTGGGTCTTCAACACCGCGAATCAACGCAACTGTTGCACCCTCATATCCCGAATCCTTCCCAAACACCATTTCTGGTACGCTTATCATGGGAATCCGTGGAACTCTTGCAAACTTGCAACACACATGTGCGCGGCGCTAAGGCGAGAGCCACATGTTGAAGAGGAACCGCCCTCAACCCGTGAAACTCTTGCAATGGTTTAAAGCGAATGTGCGGGGCGCAAAGGCGAGGGCCACATGTTGAACAAGAGCTGCCCTCAATCCGTGAAACTCTTGCAAATTGTGACAACGAATGTGCGCGGCGCTGAGGCGAGAGCCGCATTTTGAAAACAACCCGCCCTCCAATTGTGAAGCTGTTGCAAATTGTAGTTTCAGGGTCATAAATGGTGAGGTAGTCTCAGGCGAAACGCCCGGACCGCCCTAACAACTGGCCCCGGGGTGCGACAGGGAGAAGTTATTTAGAAGGAAAAGGAATGGAGGGGAAACAAGAGGAGGAGGAACGAGAGGGAAAGAGGGGGAAAGACCGGAAAGACGAAGAACGATGATGAACGAGGAGGAGGACACCGAAGAAGGAACACACTTCATAAGCGTAACCACCTTTCGAGAGTCCGCGCGGTTGTTGGGGATCTGCGTTGGGTCCCCCAGCGGCGCTTGGCGACCATCGAAGACATCTGCGCGAACCTCCGAACGTTTATGTTTATGCACATTTCTGCATGTAAGAGGAAGAACCAGGACGAGTGAAGCGACCGAGGACGATTGAGGAGGAGTTTGGACGATGACTGACGGGGCAGGGGGGCGGATGGGAGTTTTTGACGTTCTCGACCTCCTCTGACCTGGATGGCCATCTTCGCCACAGGCGGGAATCAAGGGCGAGTGTGGATGAAGGGAGGGGGAGGAGGCGGGGAAGGGGGCCGGTGTGGCTGCCGACGGACAGGCAGGGTGTGGTGAGGAGGAGCAGGGGTAGGATCAGAGGAAACCCATGATGCATCAACGGTTCTGTAATATACCTTCCCGTTCCAAGACCCCTCCTCCTAAGGCCGATTGGTAGGGAAAGCGAGCCAGTGGATGGCCCTGAATACACTAAAGGGGGGGGTGCTCGCAGACCCCCCCCCCTCTCCCCCTTCAAAGGGGGGGGTGAGATTTTCGACCCCCCCCCCCTCCCCCCCTTGGCGCTGGAAAGGGGGGGGTTCGAATCCCCCCCTTCCCCCCCTTTGCGCCGAACGGGGGGCTGGAGAGGGGGCCTCTCGGGTAGTGAGTCGAGAGCAGAGTGTTTTAGTAGCGATTTATGAGTAGTGGGTATTTGATAGTGAGTAGCTCGCAGTGAGTGAGTCGTTAGTGGTGAGTAGTGAGTAGTGGGTAATGGGTAGTGGTAGTAGTGAGTAGCGCGTAGAGATTAGTGAGTAGTGGGTAGTGAGTAGTGGGAAAGAAATAGTGAGTAAGGAAGTGTGAGTAGTGAGGAGTGAGTAGTGAGGAGTGAGTAGTGCATAGTGAGTAGTACGCACGGAGTAGGGATGAGGGAGTAGACAGTAGCGAATAGCGAGGAGTGCATAGTGAGTAGTGAGTAGTGAGTAGTGCGCAGTGAGTAGAAAGTAGTGGTGAGTGGTGAGTAGCGAGTAGCGAGTAGGGAGTAGCGAGTAGGGAGTGGCGAGCAGTGAGTAGTGAGTAGCGAGAAGGGCGTTGTGAGTAGTGCATAGTCAGGAGTCAGTAGTGAGTCGTGAGTCGGGAGTAGTGCGTAGCGAGTAGGGAGTAGCGAGTAGTGAGTAGTGAGGAGTGGTGAGTAGTGAGCTGTGAGTAGTGCGTAGGAAATAGTGAGTAGTGAGTAGTGAGAAGCCAGAAGTGGGTTTTGAGTAGTCGGTAGTGAGTAGGGAGTAGCGAGTAGAAATTCGTGAGTAGTGAGTAGTTAGTGAGTAGTGAAGAGCGTCTTGCGACTAGTGAGTAGTGAGTAGGAGGTAGGAAGTAGTGAGTAGTGAGTAGCGAGTAGTGCGTAGTGGGTAGTGAATCTGTCCCATTGGGTTGCGAGTAGCGGATAGTGAGTAGTAAGTTATGGGCAGTGTGTAGTGAGTAGTGACTTGCGAGTTCGCAGTAGTGAGTACTGGATAGTGGATTTTGGTTAGTGGGTAGTGAGTAGTGCTTACTGAGTAGTGAGTAGTGGGCAATGAGTAGTGTTAAGTAGTAGGTGAGTAGTGAGTTGGGAGTAGTGAGTAGGGGGTAGGAAGTAGTGAGTAATGAGTAGAAGGGGCGTAGTGAGTAGTGAATAGTGGGTTGTGAATAGTGCGTATTTGGGTAGCGAGCAGGGCGTAGGGAGTAGCGACTACTGAGTTGTGAGTATTGCGTAGGGAGTAGGGAGTAGCGAGTAGCGAGTTGTGGACAGTGAGTAGTGAGGTGTGGGCAGTGAGTAGTGAGTAGTGAAGTGTGAGTATTGAGTAGTGGATAGTGGTTAGTGGGTAGTGAGTAGTGATTTGATATGCGAGTAGTGTGTAGAGGGGTGTGTTTAGTGAGTGGTGTGTATTGAGTAGTGGGTAGTGAGTAGTGAACAGTTTGTAGTGAGAACAGTTTTCAGTGGGTAGGGAGTAGGGAGTAGTGAGTAGTGCGTCGTGGGTAGTGAATCGTGGGTAGTGAGTAGTGGGTCGTGAGTAGTGAGTTGTGAGTAGCGAGAAGTGAGCTGTGAGTAGCGAGTAGTGAATTGTGGGTAGTGAGTAGTGCGTAATGAATAGTGAGTGCTGTTTGGGACTAGGGCTTGGGCTTGGGTTTAGGGTCAGAGGTTATGGCAATGATGAGGATTTGTGTAGGGGTGGTAGGGGTCGGGTTCAGGAGACCGGGGCGCCGTGGCGAAAGGGGGGAAGGGGGAGGGGTCGAATTTGGCGGCGAAAAAGGTGGATGGGTGGGGGTCGGAACCTCCCAACCCTTTTGAAAGAGGGAGAGAGGGGGGGGGTCCCCGACGACGGACCGGGAAAGGAGGAAGGGAAGGGGGATTCCCCGACGACGGATCGGGAAAGGGGGGGAGGGGGGGGGGTCCCCGACGACGGGTCGGGGAAAGAGGGGGGGAGGGGGGGTCATCCAGCGGCGCGCCCTCCTTGGTTGGCCGCCCGTTCCTTCGTGAACCTTGTTTGATATGGATATGCCTTGCATCCTTCTGTCAATAAGGGAAGCGAAAATATAGGAGCACGCGCCAGTTCATTGACATGTCCAGCGAGAGCTCCTTCCCGAAAAGCCCCCCCCCTCCCTCCATGCAGCTGTTGTACACGCTTGCGCACCTGGACATTAGATTCGACGAAGTCCCAAGAGCGAGAGCCTCATGCTCATCCTTCTAGTGGTGGCATTTTCACAGTGTCAAGCGAGAGCCCACTTCTGAGAAGGGGCCGCCCCCTATCTTTTCGCTGTTGCGAGCTGTTCGGTCGAACTTCCGCGGCGCCAAGGGTAGAACCCCAGTGCGAAAAGGCACCGCCCTCCGCTTCCGGAAGACGATTGTGCGGAGCGCTGAGGCGAGAGACCCATTTTGAAAAGGAACTGCCCTACATCCCTGTTGCTGTTGCGAACTTGTCATACGAGTGTGCGCGGCGCGATGGCCAGAGCCGATTGTGAGAAGGATCCGCCATACATCTTTGTAATTGCGCAGTCTTGTGAAGATGAACCTGGGCAGAGCTCAGGCGAGAGTCCCATCATGAAGATGATCCGTCTTTCATCCATGTAGGTGTTGGAAGTCCCAGCTTCGTGGTCATGAATGGTGAGAAAGGCTCCGCGCAATCTGTCACCTCCCCACTCTTCCTAGCACAGAACGTCACCGCCGTCCGCCCCCCTCCTCCCCGTTCGACGACCAGCGGCGACGGCGGCGACCGACGGACGACTGACAGATGACCGACGACGACGACGACGACAGCGACGACGACGACGACGGCGATTACGGACCGCGACCACGTCGGCGCCACCTGCCCCACATGGTCCATTTCGATATGATCCATCCGATTCGAGATCGATCCTGACCCGCGTGTTCCGATGTGATTCCGATATCTCGGCGATCCGATGCGGCCCGATGCCTGCATGACGTCGACGTGCGTCCTGGCGCGGCCGATCCGATTCGATTTCGGCTTCGTGCCGATGCAGCCCGATCCGACACATGCTCCGATCCGACCTGCATGATCGACTCCATCCCGACCGCTCGCGCTCCCCCCGCGCGCCCCGAACAGGAGCGCGCGGAGCGCGAGGCGGGGCAGGCGCACCTCCGGCCGGGGTCGGGGGCGCGCGTTTCGAGAGAGGCGCCGGC